TGGTATGTATTTCTGACGAGAATTCTTTGTTGATCTTATGTTCTTTGTTTAGGTATTGATTCTTATGTAACAACACCCCAAAACTTGGGCTGATTGGGCTCAGCTGGGTGGTTCTTCTGCCCCATGTGGTGTCAGCTGGAATAACTCAGTTGTACTCAGTAGGTGCCTATGTAGGACTGGGGATCCAAGAAGGCTTCACTAATGTGTCTGGTGTCTCGGTGCTCTTCCATGCATCCACACCATTTGGTTAGCATGGGCTTTCTCATAGCATAGTGATTTGGGGGTAGCTGGACTTTTTACCTGGAGGCTGGCTTGCAAGAAGCAGACTCTGCCAGTCCTTTTAAAGCCTCTGCTCAAAAACTCCAGAATGATACTTCTGCAAATAATAAAGCCAGTCTGGATTCAAGAGGAGAGAATAACCTCCAGGGAGAATAGCCTCCACTTCTTGATAAGTGAGGTGGTGGACACACACATGGAGAAGGAATTGATGGCAGCCATCATGAGACACTGTCTGCCACTTGTATGCTGTGAATATCTTCCAGTTTGTAACTTTTCTTTCTACTTCTTTAAGGTGAACCAATATTCTTTTTTTTAAATTTTTATTATTTTAAAATTTTATATTATTTTATTTTATATCAGAGAGAGAGAATGTGTGAGAGAGTGGGTGGGGGAGGGGCAGAGGGAGAGAGAGAATCTTAAGCAGGCTCCAAGCCCAGCATGGAGCCCAATGTGGGGCTCGATCTCACAACCCTGAGATCATGAGCTGAGCCAAAATCAGGAGTCGAACACTTAACCAACTGAGCCACCCACGTGCCCCTAAGGTGAACCAACATTCTTAATTTTGATCTATCTCTTCTTTTGTAACCAATGCTTTCTTGTTTAAGAAATCTTTCCTTGCTCCACATTCTAAAAGATATTCCCTGATATTTTGCACTAATTGGTTTTAAAGTTTATTTCTGACATTAAGTCCTTAATTCATCTGAAGCTGATTTTTGTCTGTGGCTTGAGTAGGAATTTGATTTTTTGTTTTCTATTGGATATGGATTAGCTTTTCCCACTGACCTGATGTACCACCTCTGTTATATACTAAGGTTTCCAAAATGCGTGGGTCTGTTTGGGGCTCTTTTCTGTCCTGTAGGGCTGTTTCTCTCATCTTGCTCTGTTTTAATTATGACAGCTTCATAATAGGCCCTGATACCTTGAAGGGCAAGTTTCATCCTTCCTGGTCTTCCTGTTCAGCAATATCCTGGCTTTTCTTGGTTCTTTACTAGTCCATATAACTTTTAGAATTATCGTGCTCCAAGAGAATCTCTATTGAGATTTTTATTGGACTTTTTTTTTTTTAAAGATTTTATTTATTTATTTATTTATTTGAGAGAGAGAAACAGCATGAGAGGGGAGAGGGTCAGAGGGAGAAGCAGGCTCCCCGCTGAGCGGGGAGCCCGATGTGGGACTTGATCCCAGGACTCCGGGACCATGACCTGAGCCGAAGGCAGTCGCTTAACCAACTGAGCCACCCAGGCGCCCGAGATTTTTATTGGACTTGTATTGACTTTATAGATCAACTTTGGGGGAGAATTGATAAGTTTTTTATATTTCCTACCCAAGAAAACAGTCATTTCATTTGTTTAGATTTTAGAAATTCTTTTAATTAATTTTGTTTCTTAAATTCCCTATATGAGTGAAATCATATGGTATTTGTCTTTCTCTGTCTGACATATTTCACTTAGCATAATACCCTGTAGGTCCGTCCATGTTGTTGCAAATGACAAGATCTTGTTCTTCTTTGTGGCTGAGAAACATTCCATTGTATATACATACCACATCTTCTTTATCCATTCATCTATTGATGGACATTTGAGTGGCTTCCATATCTTGGCTATTGTAAATAATGCTGTAATAAGCTCAGGGGTGCATATATCTTTTCACATTAGTGGGGTTTTTTTCTTTGGATAGATACCCAGTAGTGGAATTACTGAATCATATGATAATCCTATTTTTAATTTCTTGAGGAACCTCCATACTGTTTTCCAAAGTGGCTACACCAATTTGCATACCCACCAACGGTGCATGAGGGTCCCTTTTTCTCCACATCCTCGCCAACACTTGGATTTCTAGTCTTTTTGAGTCTAACCATTCTGACAGGGTGCTGGTGGTGACATTTCTCTTCACCCCCTCCCCTCCCAGTCTAGATAGCCAGGCACTTTTGGGAACCAGTGGGAACCCTCTCCACTTATCTTGCTAACACCATGTGCCCCACCCTTGTGTTCCCCTGCAGATGTGTCCCATCCACACCACCCCATTTGGCGTGTGTCCCTCCAAAGCCACTTCTGCCCTGACATACCCTGCAAACAACCTGAGCAGGGACCAGCACCACTCCAAAGTGACTCCTGCCCTGGGGAGGGGGGAAGATAACCACACACACCGATGCATCTGCAGTCCCAGCAGCCGCTCCTTATAACTAGCAGCAGAGAGAGAGCACCCTGGTCATCAGTGTGACTACGGCCTCACAGACAGACGGGGGCAGGCAGCTGGTGTGACTGCGTGCGCTGCCCACCAACAAAAACCTCTCAGGGGACATCACAGGAAGCATGTCCTGCAGTTCGGTGTGATGGCAATCCCGGCAGATGGACTGACAGCAGACATCTGGTCTGACGGCTGACACTGCCCACCTAGGAGCCTGCAGCATCCCCAGATAGGCCTCCTACCAGCACAGGGACCAAGCCCTGCCCGGCATGCCCCCAACAGGCAAAGCGGGCCATTGCAGCTGACTGGACTGAAGACAGACGCGGTTCAGCCGCAACAGGAGGCTGCATGTAGCCCCCCGTAGGAGACATCCCTGCAGCACCTGGTTCTGGTGAACGGGGTATTGCACTATAGGGCACCACGGGACCTCTTCTTCTTAGACCAACGGCAGGGAAGAATGTATGTTACTGACTATCCACAATGTCTAATAAACTGGAGTAGATAGTAGCTGCTAGATGGGGAGGAGAGTTACAAGGTGGTGGTTGACATACTATTTCTGGGGCCCCAGGCTTGGGTCTTGGTTCTTACTATTTACAGTTGGGTGATTCTTGGGAAAATTACTTATTCACTGTGTTTCCTCAGCTGTAAAATAGAGGTGATGGCCTTAGGGTGCAAATGTGAAGTACATGGTGCCCGGTGCATAATCTGTGCTCTGTAAATCCTCACTTTATTTGTTAATGTAATTATTTGAAAATTGAGAATCACTGAAACAACACAAAAAGCAACATTTCTATTCCTTATATCTTCATTATGGAGATGGAGATAAATGTAGATCATAAGCAGCCACATCCTTGGAAGAGATTTGCTTCTAACTACATGTAAATCTTCTAACCTTGGAGGAGCAATAATATAATTCCCTTATCAAATAATTAAATTGGTAAAATTCCCTCTGGGAAAGAATGGGAAAAATAAAGATCATTGAAAGGAAAAAAATCCACAAATGTTTAGATGTCTTAGTTATTGCACTTTATTATGGTAAAATTTTTATAGAAAGAACCCCCCCCTTTTTTTTTAAAGAATTGCTGATGGGATCATTCTTTTATTGGGCTTCTAGGTGGTGTGAGGCAATGTGCTGGCTGAAGTGTGATGACAAGCAGGACACAAGCATGGTCTCTGATCTCAGGAACTCAGGGGGCTGCTTAGCCCAATGTGCGGCTTCTGAGTTACATAAGTCTCTTTACAGAAGGTCAAGAGATAAAGTTGTACATAATATGTCTCCACGTACGAGAGACTCCTCAGTTACACACTCGACGAAAACATTTGGTTTTCACATTTGGTTACACACCAGGATCAAATTTATCTTTGAACACTTAGTTAACTTTCAAGAGGCTTGCCAGGGACAGATCTACCATCGTGTCACAGAACACTCCTGGGAAGACTGTGGCTATAAGTTTGCTTCTTTAAATGCCCTCCTAGATGGTGCTGATGCTCTGAGGTAATTTAACTGGGGAGCAAAGCAGTTCAGTGTGTGAAGCCCACGGCTGGTTAAGCATGATCTTTTGACCCAGTTAAAATGTAATCAATATATAGGTAAGGCTTTTGAGGCAGTAATGGCTGTAAAATTCTGCATCACAAACAAAACAAAACAATAAAGAATTTGCCTACCAAGAAGAATAATTCAGTAAGAAGATGAGATGATATCAGTAGCATCAGAATTTAGTAAAGATGATGATACCAAATAGATATCACTCCAGGTGAAAATGGATTCTCATTTATCTATGGGGTTAACTCTCAACTTCTCACTTTGGTATCCTCAGCCAAGACATGATCTCCCCACTTACCTTTCAAGCCTGGTTTTCGATTACTTACGCTGTTGTTAAACTGGACCAACTGGCCTCCGTGCCTTTGCTCATGCCCGTGCCTCCCCCTGGAACCCCTTCCCTGTTTGCTGGTCACTGATAGTTACCAGAGCCCTGTCCATCCTCACCGGCGACTTAATCCCACCTCTTGCACCCTGTTTCCTGAGCCCGGGGCATACCTATCACCTGAGACCTGGGCCTCTATACTCTTGCCGTATCCCGCTTTCCTTACTGTTATTTGTCTCCTTATCGCCTCCACTGGGACCGCGGATGGGGATTCTCTTTGTATCCTAGTGCCTGACCCGGAAATTGCAGAGGAAAACGTAAAGAGTAAAAAGGATTTGCTGAAGGAAAACATCTTTGCATCTCAGGTACAACAGGTTCTTCTTAAAATGTCATATAGGACGAGGAAAACATAGCTGTTACACATGGAAGATAAATATGATATGTGTCCTAGAAACATTATAAACAGAGGTATAAACAGGTGATACGGTTTAAGATTAAGTGAAAAAGAAAAAGCCTTACTACTGTCTTCAGAATACATTATGATCAATGTCAACAGCTGACATCTCTAAGCTGTGTAAAGTGGTCTCTTGTTTCAGTTAGCTCTTTACTAAATTGATAGGAAAAATTACTTGAAAATAAAAAAAGAGCTTTTTTTTTTTCCTTCTCCAGGGCCAGTTCTGTGACTATTGCAATTCTGAGGACCCCAGGAAAGCACATCCAGTCACCAACGCAGTTGATGGATCCGAGCGATGGTGGCAAAGTCCTCCTCTCTCCTCGGGCACACAGTACAACAAAGTCAATGTCACCTTGGATCTAGGGCAGGTGAGTGATGCTTCCAACCGGAAAGGGGGAAGGTAGTTTGGATCATTGTTTCTGTGGTTATTTCTGAAATAATAATAATTATATTAAAAACCAAACATCAGTTTTAATTCTCTAATCGTGAAGCCTGTTACATTAATATTTGCATTCCTCCAGCTCAGCCTGTCATGATGCAGACACCCATACCTGTTTGTCAAGAGTTAAAAATAGTCAAAAATAGTTTACTGGCAAAGATATTATTATTATTATTTAGATTTTATTTATTTGACAGAGAGAGAGACAGCCAGAGAGGGAACACAAGCAGGGGGAGTGGGAGAGGGAGAAGCAGGCTTCCCGCCAAGCAGGGAGCCCGATGAGGGGCTCGATCCCAGGACCCTGGGATCATGACCGGAGCCGAAGGCAGACGCTTAACGACTGAACCACCCAGGCACCCCTATTATTATTATTTTTTATTATGATAAAGTACACACGACATGAAATGTACCATCTTGGAACTAGAGGGTATTATGCTAAGCGAAATAAGTCAATTAGGGAAAGACAAGTATCATATGATCTCACTGATATGAGGAATTTGAGAAACAAGACAGAGGA